AGTAAATGTCGGGTATCGGATCAGTTAAAAAGTTTTAGTCTTGATGGTGAATGTTACATAAACCACCACGCTTATAGGGTTGAGCTTATTTCTTTCTGCTTTTGTGTTAGTGTACCCGTATGCATCTGAAACGAATAACTGACCAACTATACCAATAATAAACATAGACTAATAACTGATTTGCTATAAGGTTGTCGTTTTATCGGCTTTCCTTTCGCACCTGATAAATACGGAAACATTCGTCAAAAAAAAATCAAAATGTTTATATTGAGATGCTCATATATCTTGCATTGGGTGATAATTTAATGGTCAACCAAGCATGACTCTTTATTGGGACACGCCTTAAAACGCCCTCAACAACTGTCCTGATCAGTTGGCTTGCTTGAACCACAACGCTCTAAGACTACGGCAAACTACGACCCGCGGGCCAAATCTGGCCCGTTGGGTAATCAATTCTGGCCCGCACGATGCTACCACAACCAATGTTCCCTCTAATTTTTTGTAGTATGTGTGCGCAGAAATTTTGGTGTGCGCACTTTTTTGGAAATGACTAATATTTGTGCAAAAACCAATGAAGAAATTTTGGCGTTCTGACCGGGTAATAAGTGGGCCGACAACAAACTTTCTCAACCTGCCAACCGAACACATTGTTACATTACATCGAAATACGTCTGTGCGCAGTAAATCTATGCATGTGCGCAGCCTCTGAAAACTGTGTGCGCGAGCACACGCCCACACCTTAGAGGAAACACTGACCACAATCGAACTAAATTCAATTTTTCTAATGTTTTCAGTTGTTTAGTTATCAAAAAAATAGCTCAAGAAATTTGTTGAGATTGTGATTAAATTTAGTTCTAGCACGAGGCCTATTGTTTTTCCGCTTTTGCTTTTGTAACACTATGAATATTGTTCATAAAATATAACTCTTTACGTCACACTCACATTGCCCACCAGTCTAGGTTAGTAAATTTTTTGGACCCTGGTCCAAACAACTTGCCCACTCCTGCTCTAACCACCTGCCATCGAGGCAAAATTTCTTCATTCCCAATATCATACTTTCATCTCTTCGCTCTCACGAAATAAACAACACCTGCTTATACTGAAGTCGACAATAACATGAACGTGTACATAAGACGGAACCTCTTAATACGCTTGGAAATGTTATCTAATCCTTCCTAAAATCACAAACTAAAGAAGATGTCACGTCAAGTCGGGTCGCCCATGGACACGGTTGGTGCGAGTGTTCTGCCTATATTATCGCTACTCCAAGAATTAAAATAGGCCTAGTGGTACAAAAATAACTTTTACAGTCAAATTTTCATGTCATTCCAGCCTAAGAAACACTCTACAGAACAAGCTTATCAAGCTATGAAACTAGTAAAAACAGAGATTTTTTTGTGAAGTAGCAATTAAAATCAGTTTTGCGCCTAGCATTGTGACCACTCCTACTGTTGTGTTGCCCTCTGGAGGCCACGGGCCCCCAGTTTGAAACCGCTGATCTAAAATATCCTATCCTAAAGTAAAGGATGTGAAACAAAGCCAGTATATAAGCGCCAGATAAGGTTAGGGTGAGTAAGAAGGCCTACAACCTGAACTAGCCTAACTGACTCTATGATAAACTGAATCGAAGAATACAAATTCTAAAATCAACGACGAGGTAACAGCACTAGCACTATAGTACCCAGAGTTCCGCTGAATTGAACATGCATTTCCATAACGAGCTCAACTTCCGAAGCTAATATACCGTTACGTGAATGCTTCATCTGTATTTGGTGATAGAAATCAGTCGTAACAACAAGCGACCACCGGCGTAAGTTTGATTTTATGGAAGTACGTACTTATCTACGTTAGAAACAGGGTGTCCAAAAAAGTTCGCCCGATTTTATAGTAATACCAATTATAAATTTCCTTGTCTTTGTCTATTAATAGTTCTTATTGGGCTTGTAGTTTTCATTTATCATACAATAAAATTTGTTTAAACTTTCAATTGCTATTACTATAAAACGGGCAAAATTTTTAATTGTTATTATTATAAAATTGTGCAACATTTTCTGGACACCCTGTAATATATACTTTTATTGAGACCAGATTTTAATTAAAAGTGATACTAAGAATTACTATGTTACTTCATTTAGGTTTATTTTTACGACAGCGATATGTCAACATATAGCGATTGGAACGAGAAAACAGTCATAATGTAAAAATACCTATATCAATGCTTTTATACAAGCAAAGTCAGAGTCTCTTCTTTTTAAGTGATAAGCCATTCCCCCAAACTTAACTCAAAGCGAGAAAGCTGTGCCTCTTTGCCATAAGCGAGTTTTTGAAATCGTGACGTAGCTTTACTTGAGCAGAACAGTAGCTGCTAAGTTTTTACGCCGTGATACTTCCCACATACATATACAATTACTATTGAGCAACAATTCAATACAAATAAAAAAAAACACTAAAATTAATAATATTAGAAAATACTAAAAAATGAAAGCAGCAACTTTTAGGTTTCAGTTGAATAAACATGCGACCCCAGGAAAATTTTCAAGCGACACTATTTTATGTCGTGACCTATAGGTTGGGAAACACTGCTATAATACATAGTATACATAGATAAATACCATGCCTCCGAAAAACGCCAGAATACAAAGGAAGGGTCATGGGTGGTTGTTTACCTGTAACTTTGAGATTTCAGTAATCATCTCTTATTCTTTTATAGAGTAAACCTAGTAAATCGGAGGCATATTTGCTCAAATCCTTTCCATCAGCACAAACTTAAGGCAAAGATACGCTGCATATAAACTGCAATACCATGACGATACACTTCCTCTGTGGTTTACTCAGGGTGGGTTTACGCACTACTAGTGTACCGGGGGTGGGGCACTTGATGGCTTCATTGATTGTTATAAAATGCTTTATGACATCATATCTCGATATGACGTCAAAATTATATTATGTCTTCACTTTTTTTTTTGTAAGTTTCATTGCATTGAGACTAAATGTGACGTCACAATACAATTCGCTGACGTCACCATGTTACAGTTTTGTGACGGCACATTAAAAAGTTGTGTTGTCATATTTCAAAACCTTGAAATACACGAAACAGAAATCCCTGCCTAAATAAGCCAATTGCATTGAGAAAGGATAACAAGGCTAACCAATTTATATTAAAATATATTCTTAAGTGAGTATTTTATTGGTATTTTATTGGTATTTTATCCACTTGGCATAAATCAGTAATAGATAGATTCATGTTACTCTCAGACCACGCCTCTTCTCCGTATTTCAGACAGCACTCAGTGTTGAACTTACGCCCCTCATATTAACATTTTTTTCAACGATCTTTTAATAACACAGCGGCACCAATAAAACTGGTTATCCCGTTATTGAATCATTACCAAACGAATTTTCGTCAGTGTGACGTAACACCAAATCAAAAATGCCTATAGTGCCCTCACAAATAAGATGAATCATTAAAAAATAATAGGATACGTAGTCCCTCACGAGTTGCGTAAATGGGCCCGTGCCATGGCTCTCTGGCCATATATTGCACTCTTCTGGTTTAAACAATTGGCTTTTGCAAGTCTCTTTATGTCAGTGGTTCTCTAACCAGAGGCCCGTGGCCCACCAAGGGGGCCACAGAGCAGCTGGAGGGGGCCACCGTTCCAGGCGAAAATTGATTTTACTTTTCCTCTTATTAGAAAACTCCTTGTTCTTCCTAGTTTCATTGCTTTACAAGATTATTTCACAGGGTGTTTTTCCTTTATTGAGCATGAATTGTTTGAACATAATCGGATTTGGAATCTACCATTCAATGGAACACTATAAATACCAATGGAATAATAAACAGAAGGCCATGATTGGCTAAAAGCCACTCCAGAAGAGGGTCTTGAGATATATAAGGTTGGGAACCACTGCTCTATGTAATGCGTATCCCCCACTTTCTATGCGTATTTCCTACTTCTCGTCCTTTGCTCGTATCTCTACCAGTCGCGTGCTCTTTTCGCCGCACATACGACCACACGACCAGCAGTGATGTCAACCCATAACTACGCGACTAAGTACAAAAACCACTTCACAAGATGACTAAAAGTACAAAGACTTAGGAACACGCGAACTTTAACTTGAGTTTCACACTTTTGTGTATTTTTATCGAGGGTTTGCGTGTTTGTGGGTTCCACGCATGGATTACAGAATTGGGAGTTATTTGCATTCAACGTATGTTTCAAATGAAAATATGGAAAAAGTTTCATGTCCTGAACCAAAAGACAAGAGACAGAGTACCATAGACTACTGCTACCTACCTATACGAATGCAGTGGCCTTGTATTTAATCGTTGGTTTCGCGCTAATTCTAGTGTGAAATATCAAATTAAACCATTATGTAATGACGTTCGAGTTTTTATGACTGAACTTGAAAGATTAGGCCCAGCCAAGGACAGCACCCTACGCCACTGCCAAGGGAACGGACGGCCTTGGCGCCACTGCCACTAATGCAGCCACAGTGAGTCTCGTACTTTTCTACGAACCCAATGCTGTTTTAAAAGTGTAGATTGAATTTACCCAAAATAGTAAGAGGTAAAATTACTTTGATTGTTATTCTGTACATGGTTAAAAGCAGTCCCTGGATTCAAAAGTTTAGAAAAGAGATCTCTTTTGATTGAAATCATTAACAACATTCCCCATTTTCAGGGAAACCAAGATCGGGTTCCCATATCACGATATTCCAAGAACGGGTTCGCTAGGACCCCGTGGACACCACCACAGGTGAAGGGGTAATAAAAAGTAAAGGCTTTGTTATGTTATTATTCTTATGGTTTAACTGTAATATCGACTTTTTTGTCCCGAGACATCAATTAAAACTTTTATATCCACCATGTTCATGTATACGTTACGATTGACGGTATCAACTTTTCTCACTTCGCGTACTTGCTCCAGCATTGTGGCTAGCAATAAAATATTACAATAATTTGGTTTGTTCGTATTGTGGCAACACAATAAACAATGTACCTTCTGTGACGTCAACATCTGGTTGTCTTCCTTTTATTTTCATCAAATCTTCAACGTCGTCAAGCACAGTTGGGACAATGGAAGTGTCTTCTATTGCGTCACTTTGCCTCCGTGTCACGTGAATAACAGGGTCTGTATGATGTGATAAATAAGCGGTGAAACTAGGGAGCATGAAGGTACATTGGCACCAACAAAGCGTTGGGTGAGCACAAGCTTTGCTGGACAGATCATCGGACTATCGTAACGAAATAAAGTGTTCCCTAAACCCCATAAAAAGGGTTCCTATGAAGTTTAATAAAACAACAGGCTATTACTCATAGGATCCGGAGACGATGGAAACGTGTGACCTCGAGGGGGCGGTACCGAGCGAATTCTCGAATATTGAAATATTTAAAAAAAGGGGAGAAAATACTTATAATTATAATAAGGCTATATATTGTGATTCAAGAGTCTCATTTCTGTAGCGTTTCTGCTGAATCACGTATAATAGTTATCTTTATTCTTGCTACGTCATTCTTCCATCATATTTATACGGATACTACAGAACAAGAGCATCCAGAAACCCATTCGATAGCATATGTCTTGAAACGTTTGTCTAGTCTACACCAGGGCTACTCAACTATTTTTATCGAAGATCCGCATACAAAACTTATTTAAAAAAATATTAATAAAAATTATTTGGGTCCGGTCTTTCCAAAAATTATATTTCAGCATCCACACGCATTTCCTCGGCCGACTAATGATTATTAGCTAATCAAGATTGTTTATTATGTATGGCGTTATAGTTCTTTTCATATATATTTAAATCTATAAAAGTGATTTTATAGGAGGGAACTCCAAAGGTGGGGCTAATGATCGGAAATAAAGAATTAAGCGCAGTCCGAATCGAATACTTGGAAGGTCCGGATTCGGATCGCGGTCCGCCAGTTGAGTAGCGCTGGTCTACACGATAAGCAAAATAAAAACAAATGGCGATCTATATAGCAGACCTTTTGCCCTATGCATGAAAAAGCATCATGAACTTCAGGTATTTTGAGTGCGACGCCAAAATAGTACGTATCTTGATCAGAAGTTTTTTGTACAGCGAAGTCATGGGGTTAAGAATTTAAGCTGATGTTTTCAATCTACAATGCCGAATAAGGCTGGGCTTTTCAAATTAAATATTCGAATTGAATAGTACATAATTCGAATTGGTTCAACGAAAAATTTCGAATCGCCGTTTTTATTTAGACGACAACGGCGATGGAATCTACGTTTTCAGTAATGTATGAGTCTGAAGATTCATCACAATGATAAGTGACATACGATTGACTATCTTTCAAGTATTCGAAATTCGATTTGATTCGAAAAAATATTCGATTTGATTCGAAAATCATCAGGTATTCGAAAATGCTCAGCCCTAATTCTGATATAATCTATTATTCTATTAGGACCTTAGGTTTGAAACACTAATATTATACTATCCTAAGTAATATCTTGTCACAAAAAATTATAACTTGGGAATTAAAGTTATTTTAACAGTTTGTTTAAAAGCAAACGGTTTCAATTTATTGTCTATGTTTGCTTTAAAACAGAACACATTATTTGCTCATAATAATTCAAATTACAGGAGAAATAAATAAGACAAACAAACAGTTAACAGATTTATGATATTGAGAGAACTAATTAATAACTCCGGGAATTTTCCGCTTGTTGTGGTCGCATTTGGTTGCTGGGAAGTTGGTCTGGGCTATATAGGGTGTCCATGAAGTCTTGAAAAAATTAAAAAAGCAAAGGGACATTATCGATACCATATATTGTTTCGACCCTCACTGATGTATTAAATAAAAATACTTGAACAATTACTGATTAAAAAACAACAAATCTGGTTAAGATATATTGAGAACTAACTTCATAACAAAATTAAAATTGTAAAGGGGCTTTTTATATGTATATGCACATCACAAAACCGTCGTGCCAAAAACGTAATTTGATAATAACGCATAGAGAGACTGATAGGGTCGAATACTTCTGTTCCGCATCTAAACGTTGAAGAATATGGTTAGGTTATTGCACAAAAATATTCGGTAACTTCGGTAGCGGCTAATTTTTGTAACTGTGACCCAAGTAAATAAGTTAATCTCCGTGAATATTTATTCTCTTTGTATCCCGATTTGCAGTTTGGAAGTTGACTGCGTTTGCATGTCGATATGCACAAAGTGTGGCTGCAACCAGTGGTGGAATTCAGCCGGTTCGTACCGGTTCTATAGAACCGTCTCACGGAATTTTATGAGATCAGCGAACCTGTTAGCATTACTGAAAAACATGACTTTTTGTTCCAGAACCGGCTGAAAAATATGTGATGGAACCGGCTGACCGGTTTCTTATTCAAAAAAAAAAAAAATTGAATCCCACCACTGGCTGCAACTGGCGCTTTAATAGTGACGTAGTCGGAAATTTTTAAGGGGAGGGGATTCTAAAATTTCTAATTGCTAAGGTAAACGTGTTATATCAATAATCGTAAGACTCTAATATGAGCAAAAACTTTGCTGAAAAAATCGGCGGACGAGCGTGACAAAGGCTGCCAAGCATGGCGAACTGATAATTTTAAATTCGGGGTAGTAATCGGTTGCTTCTGAGGGTATAAAGACAATCATTTAAAAAAGTGAATTCAGTCTGGACTCTGTCAGTGTGTCGATTGGCACATTGTGAGACAATTACTTATGGATTGGGAGAGAGAAGTCCCATAATTTTTTCTCAATATTTTTAATTTCACTTTGTCTGTGTTTTATGCTCAATATAGCGATACCATCGCAAATTACATACTCAATATTCCGAGAGCTTTGAGGTCCTTCATACCATTATGCAACTGCTATTTAATTGCGATCATCGACGATTTATGTCTTTTTCTATTTGCGCAGACAAGTAACCGCTCCCTACTAAATACCGTCTACAGCGACCAGAACGTGGGTGAGCAAATACTAAGTCTTTTGTGTGCAGTAATTTATCCGTTTGTTTTGTCATAAATCTCATTGTTAACATGGGTTATCGATTATGACGAAGCCTCAAAAACACGAAGTACCATTATGAGGACATAATATTTTGAATTTGGAAAATTATGCTGTCATAACTCTCAGTCATAAAGATATTGTGGCATCACAGTGGTTTGTTTCATGTGGGTTTCATGGAATGTTCTGCCCGACAGTGACGCAATAAAGCAATATTGTTCACGCAATAATGCTGTCAATTTTAAAGTCATTTATGGCGGTTGTATATCACAATATGTTTCCTCTGCTTTATTTAACATGTGATTTGTTGCGTCGCCACACCTTGTGATATTTGGGAACCGAAATTATTTGAATATGTGTAATAAGTCACCATGTCTTATATATATGGACTACGTTTTACCGAACCGGTATTTTTGCAGTTGACATTTTTATGAGGCGTTCTTAGACTTTTACTCCGAACAAAGCTCTAGACCAGGGTGGGAAAGTTACGGCCCGCGGTTCGCATCCGGAGTGTTTCATCCGGCCCACTTGTGTCTTTGAAAATACCGACGAAAACCATGTCATAATGACGCCGATTGTTACATTGTGCTTCTTATCATTATATAAACGTCAGCCTAGATGTTGGACTAACTTTTGTGAATAAACTGTTTTTATTCATAGTTTTTCATATTGAATTTTAAGTAACCAAGTCTGTTATTGTAACTCCACTCCTGCTCCAGACAAAAACGTATTGTGATAAAAGAAGCTGCCATGTTCCAGGCTAAAGAGTTCGGAATATTTCAATTTCCTTTGACTTCATGTTATCTGTATAACTGTATAACTTCACCAAAGCAATGTCAAACCGTACAGCAAATAATATAAGTTTTCCCAATATCTATCTTCGACACGGGCAAATTACGGCCGCGGTTCAAATCAGTCTCGTTGGGTAATTTAATCTGGGTCGCCCGATGCTGCCATAGCCAAACTAAAATCAAATTTTGATGTTTTAGCTAAAGAATTGCTCAATGAATTTGTTGAGATTGCGATTAAATTTAGTTTTGGCACGAGGCTTATTGTTCTTCTCATTTGTAACACTGTAAATATTGTACATAAAATGTAACATTTTTACGTCACACATACATGGCCCGCCAGTCTAAGTGGTCAAAAAACCCTGCCCACCCCTGGTCTATATATACATACGTATTTCTCTTTTATTTCGGGGTATATATTATTGGACAAATAAATGATGAAGGAGTACAGTAGGTTAATTCTAGGTACCGTATACTAGAAATGATTAAATTTAATCATTAGTAAGTATAATAACGTATTGATAATCGTCTTTATTTTACGTCAACGAGTCGTAAAGCAGAGTTACTTTTGTAGTGGTTCTATTCTTAGTTAAACAAAAATAGACGTCATAGGCTTATGACGTAATTACGAAAAAAGGATAAAAAAATTCTTAACTACCTTGAAATTACATCATACGCTAATGACGCCACATCAGAAAAAATGATAAAACGTTTTTACCCTATTGTCATAAAAGTACGTCATAGACTGATGACGTCATATTGAAAAAAATACATACCTTTTTTACTTCTTTTTGTTTTCGAAGTCGATTGTTGAATGAAAAGTATGAGAACAATGGAGACAATTAATTTCCTTGAATGCATTATGTCGTAATAAACCATATTATTATACAAATATTTAAAATCGATGTTGACAATTCTGAAATAATTTCATAAAGGAAAATACAAGAATAACATAATTGGATTATTTCAAAGACATCTCAGCATAATTGATAAGGTCCTAGAACAGTTATCTCAATAAATAAAAATCTCGAAGTTTCATATATGCCTTAAAGATGATCATGTATAAGATGTATAAACAGTTCTTAGAAGCATGTATCGTACTATTTTTGAAAAAGTACGATTATCTTCGGTCCTCGCTTGTTCATGGTAAAATCGTCCCTTTGTCATGGACAATAAAATGTTCAAATTTGAAACTTTTGAGCAGCAAAGTCACAAAATCAATAAATTTATAAAGAAATTTAATTAGAAAGATAAATCTAGACTTTATAATGCAATTACGTTGGATGCGATCAGAGAGTGCGTAAGAGATTTCTATGTTGCCCATAGCAACGATTTGAAAATCGTCGCTTTGAACGAACCCTTCAAAGCAGTGGTTGTGAAACTTTTTTAGCTATTTAGAATTTGTCAAGTTTAATGCCCCCATCTCAAAAATAACTAACTAAAAATAAGCTACAAATATCACATAGTAAGGCGAAAGTATGTTTTATTCAAAATATGCTTTCGTGCTCGGATATGAGTATTATCTATTGTGCTTCTGAGTATGTGTACATGACTTCGCTTTGGCCTAATTCTCTTAATACCGAAACTGCACTGAAATCTTTCTCTTTCCTACCCCCTCTCTCTCTCTGACTTTCTGTAGTCACATATTACAACTTATCATCCCCTTAAAAAACGAACTAAATTGAGAAAATTCAACAACGGGCAAATGTGTGCTACAGTCACATGACGCCTTTTCTCAACTATTTTATTCCAAAATGGCGCCTCTGATCAATTTACTCCAGTCCATTATATATCAATTCAACAAATTGAACAACAAAAATAATTCACGAAATTGATTAGAACTTTGAGGTAATTCATCTATTTTTTACTATTCACCAGAAAAGGTTAACTTTTTGCATGCTTTCGTTTTCTTTATATCTTCTAAATAGCTAATGTACTATGATGAAGACTAACTTGATGTAAACAAGACAATTTTGGTCACAGACGCCATATTTTGTATTTTAACCCAAAATTCAGTCCATTGTTCGAACTTTGCAACTTTACACCTAAAACGTGCGAGACATCACTTTATCTGGCTTAGATAACAACTCAAGACTTCTAAACAACCGACCACATTCGGGCCTACAATAACTCAAAATTTACTAAAACCACATGCCAGATCTGCCAAAGAGCAAAATCGAATTAAATCCTGATAAACAAGAATCTTGACGCGTGTCTACACTTGTCCTATTCACCCTGATTCAGAAACATTCTGGATTCAATTTCAGGGAATTTAGAGTTAATTACCGGTGTTTTGTTACAAGTTGGCACATTGAACGCAAAAAGTTTCAAGTATGCTTGCTTCAATTTTAATTTTGCAAATTACTCAATTCAAAGTTACTACGGTTACAAATATAATCCAACTAAAATTTCTCACATTAGCCCCGTTTCTGACAGCTTTACTCACTTTTCGATTTTGGAGTTAAAAAGAAAAGAGGTAAATTTCAAGGATTCTTTTACTAGTTGGATAAACAGTTTGCAAACAAATATTTTTTGTCTACTGTCGGACCTCCTGAAGTATGCGCACCAAGATGGCGCACAACCTGAACTCAGGTTGTGTACCAGGTTAGGGTTCAAGTTGTGCGACATCTTGGTGCGCATACTTCAGGAAGACCTCTTATTCTAATATGGGGTATTGTGTACTGAGCAGAAAGTCATTTCTCCTTGTTTACTCCCTACTTCGGATCCGTATGTGTCAGTTGCCACAAGTGTGCTTGTAAGGATAGTATTATAAAGACAAATAAGAATAACATAATCTCTTTCCACGAAATGTTTGTAATATATTTGCTATTTCGTGGAAGGAGATTATGTTAATCTCATTGTATTGTTCTACTCTATCTTAAAATTAAGCTATTCGTCTTATTTTATTTATCCCGAAGAGAGGAAAGCTGATGAGACATCTGCTCGTCCAAACCTTGCACTTAAACTTACATTACATTAACGATATCCCGTACCTTCAAATTCGCTTGTGTAGCGTTTTGTTCAAAGCGAAAGACTCAAAAACACAAATGTTAAAGAATTGAACCATTTATTTTAATTATCCCAAAAAGAGGAAAGCCGATAAATGAATGGTTTCCCAAAATCCTAATTTCAAACTAGCATCAGTAACGAAATTCTGATCTTCCATATTTTAAGTTATTTTGGTTTAACCAAATTGGGTTATCCTGAAATGCCTTTTCACTATATATTGCAATTTATATATCAAGAGTGCTTTTAGGGGAGAAAAATAACTACCGATTACTAATCTGTTTACTGCGAATCTTTAATTACAATAATTGTTTCCATTGACAGTTTTCAACCAAACTACTCTGTATTAACTCACAGGTTGTGCGTCATTCTGGAAACCCCTATTTATATGCAGATCAAATTCGCATAAACATGTCAAAATTCGATCCAATTGAGTTAAATGTCTGACATAAATTTAGCAATAACATGAAATATTGATTCATATTACGTTGAAAGCTTTTTATAAGATTTATTAAATATTGAAGTCCACGGAACGAGCCAAAAGGCGAAAAATTTAATCTCCTGAATCAGTGATTCGCGAACCGTACTGACTTTCATCCTGCTTCCCAGAACTATCATTTTTTTGCGTCCCAAGTGAGTAGTCTGGTTGAGATACTATTCTAATTATAAAACCTAAACCCCGATTTTCGCAGCCTTCCCCCTTATGCATTAACTTTCCGACGAAACATCAAAAAAATCCGGGGAGAGTCCGATTACCGTTATGACGTCATAGTGATACCTTACTCCTGAACTTGAGAAGTCGAATTATATAAATAGGGCATCGTAAACGAGGCTGCAGTTCCGATTTCAGTACGTATATAGTTCTTTTTCTAAAATATTTCAAATATTCGCTCGGAACAAGTACTACACAAGCAATACTTATTTAGGCCGGTGGTTTCAAATAATTTTTCGAAGCGACCCAAATTATTTAAACAATACTTTTTGTAATATTTTCAATCCCCGGTTATTTTCGATCACTATACTCAATTATTTGCCATCAGCGACTTTTTGAAATCGCGGTGTAGCTTTATTTAAGCAAAATAAATGCTGCCAAGATTATACGTTACGCCATATATACAATTACTATCGGGCAACAGTTCAATACCAAATAAACTATAAACTTGAATAGAAAATTAATAACGTTTAAATTTTTCCTAAACAAAAAAAAAAAAAAATTTTTTTTCCAGCGACTTGGGTCGCGACCGATAGGCTGGGAAACACTGATTCATGCTATATTGTTTGTTAACTGGTTTTGATTTCGGTATGTGTATACATATTTTTTGTAACATATTTCATCTATTCGCTCAGAGCAAGTACTAGACAAGCATTATTTATATTCTTCAAGACAAATTTTTAACTGGGACTGCAGTTTCGGTTTCATTAGTTGTATAGACTCATTTTATTAAATATTTCGAATGTTTGTTTATAACAAGGCAAAAGACAAGCAATATTTGAAAGTACAAAGATCTGAGCCCAAAGTCGATTCAACTCTGAGTTAAGAATCACAGATTTTTTGTGCCGCGGGCCCATATTTGTAAATCTTAGTTTTGGCGTGCCCCATCCTGTGCCGTATCGATTACTGTGCCTGATCAATGAGGAAGGATATTGTTTCATTCATGACACAACAACAATAATGTGATAGATGAAGTTGCTTTTCACTGCACAATTTATCGATTCTCGAAGCAAGTGTACAATCGAACTAGTAGGTCGTTGCAAAACGCAATAAAATTTTAATCCCTTTTTCTTCCATATTCGTCCGCAACGCTCAATTAAAAAGATGCAATGGCTCAATCATTAAAGATCGATCAGGCTCTTTTCATATCGTTGCGGACCCCCTATGCAGTCATCACAAACCCTCAGGTGTCCGCGGGCCCCAGTTTGGGTAACCCCGGCTTAGATGACCCGACCCTTCAATAGATCGAGTCCAACAATTACGACAATTAAAAAACTGGACTTTTTATTAATAGCGTAAGTAAGATATCTCTAATAACTTGAAACGTATCCAATTACGTCCGCCCATAACATAATGGACCCGGAAATAGAAACAGGAAGCTAAAATTATCTCGTGAACTCAGAAATGGATCATGATATGTGTGGGAATATTGAAATAGATACTGAAGCGAAATATTAATATCGAACCTTTGACGTTTTTTTTTATTTATATCTATGCTTGAAAAAATAGTTTGAACGCAAAGTATAAATCTCGCATATCAGCTTAACTACTGCTTGTCTATACTTTGTTCTGAGCGCAACTCCCCCTAAAATATGTAAGTGTAAGTAATGTACCATTTAAAATGCAAGAGGAAAGGCTGAAAGTTTATCGCAACTCCTATGTTACCAGACCTCACGAGCATATCATAGGTAAATTCGTACAACAACTAATCGTATTATAAGTATTACCTATGAAAAATTGGTCATGCTAATTCCTACCATAATTAACCAGACCAGAGTAACGATTCCAAAAATGATATATACCATAACCAACACTTACAATACCAGACAGCAAGTCTACCACACAAACATACCACATCTGGCTCCTTTTTTTTACTAAACACACCATATCCACCAAGTCCTAGGTTGCCAGAACTCATAATCGTAACAGGAGCATACATTAGGTAACACCATACCAAAACTGACCATATTATAACATAAGAAATACCTACCAATACTAGCTTGCCACGCCGTTATACTTCTACGATGGCGCTCCAGAAGTGTGTGTATCAATATGGAGGTAACTAATTTTTTTCACCTACTTTACATCAAGTTGTGTAACGGGACTGAAACTTATGGGCACGGGGTATATTCACTTGGCTAACACAGACAGTCACCGAACTCGTAATAGAACTAAATAAGGAAAATC